ATTTATCACAGCTGTGTTGTGTGTTTATTTAAAATGGTTGCGGTTAGCGTTAATATGTCTGCTGTTAGCTTTTAAAATTATCACATTGAGACATAGAGCTGCATTATTTTTTTGAAAGTTCCTGAAGCAGATATTTTCTGAATGACTTGAMAACAGATCCAAAGCTGACAAACTCTTCCCTCCTCACAGAGCTCTGTGGTGTGAATAAACCTTCAGCTACTGCAGCAGTAACATCACATGTGTGACTCTAAAACACAGAAAATCAAACAGCAATCAAGTTCAACCAAACAAAAGAATAAACAAAAAATAACTGACACTTAAATTATTAAACAGTATTTTGAGGATAATGTTAGGATTCTAGAATATCTTACCGATCTTGTATGTTTTTCTTGAGGCTACAGACAGCAATGCTGAGGATGAACAGTCCATAGTGTTTTGTGAAAAGCCAACCCAAAATAACAAACTCAAGGACTTTCATGAACATCTCCTTCAGCCTGGGTGAAAAATAAATGACATTGGTATATAAAGTGGTGTTATTGTCTCTATAGATGGATTATTCTTACCTTTGCCAGTTCTGCAGCAAGGCATAAAAGGACATGATGGGTGTCAGAAGCAGGATGTACAACATTCTCACTAGCAATCCAAACATGCCCATATAGGTTGTCCTATTGCTCAACAGAACTGAAACACACATGTTAACATAGTTTATATAGTGTATTTCATTAATGGCAGCCAACTCATGCAAGATTGAACTTTTAATTTGGCTGATGTCAAACAATGAAACAGTACAACATGGCGCAACATGTTCGATGCCTAAAGGTGCAGAAGGGTTCTGGTGCCCATTATGACCATTGTCCCTTAGTTTGGTCTGTATGACAATTACAATCCTCACAACATGGCAATGGTTCTAACATTGGGCCAATGAGATATCTCTACACCCCACATGTTGGGCAGTGGCACAATATGACCCATGCCTCATGAAAACCATGTCAAGTGTTGGTAAAGCTGTCCAATGCATCTCATCTGTCTGCTGACCTTCTCCTTACTGTTTTGTTCCAGCAACAGCCTGATAACACTTCCATTGCATTTGTGATGCCACTACTTATCGATTTGCAGTTCCTTGRAAATTAAACCATTTTTATTCCCATCACTAGCCTGGTAATGACTAGACCCTGTCCTTCACTTTRCTTCGTACAAGGGTCTGGACTTGCTGCATAGAGAAGCGATTCTTGCAGGAGGTGTGGCCTCTGCTGAAGCATGTATGTGTTGTCGCTGTGAAGGAGGCTAAGCTAAGAAGCTAACCGGAAATCGCGTGTGCTGTAAACAACCCTACTGAGAGGAGAAATATACCGAGCCGAACGAGACGGCTGTAAATCAGAGCTGCTGCTTTGTCAGACAAATTTATTTGAATTTGGAAGCCTTATCAACACAGACTGGCTTCATTCACTTCCTCCATTGCCGTATGTTAAAATAACTAGCAGACACTGCACAAAAAATCGACATCGTTCAAAAATTGACGTTCTGCTCTCTGATTGGCCCGGCTAAAAATCTGCCAGCGAAATCCTTGTCTATGGGAGAAGTTCCAGACGGAGCAGTGAAGGGAAACTAGAATTGAGYGGAGCTGCGTCCAGGCTATCCCATCACTGGTCTTCAGGTGAATTAAATTATATCCCAAAAAAATGCATATTTTGTTTGCACTGCCATACTTTTAATTACAGACTGCAAAAGCCTCCATTTTGTTTCTACATAAATTAAAAGCAGCAATGACCTTTTTAAAATGTGTGTTCGTGTGACAATCCATACCATTCTTTTCATCATCAAAGATGAGAAGAGGATCTTGGGTGTTTTCTGGCACAGTGGAGTTAACTATCAGCCTGGATCTTTTGTCTGGGAAAGATGTCAGAGTGGTGGCCTGTTGTTCCACTTTTATTTCCTCTTCTTCCATTTTGGTGATTTCCAGAAGCATCTGTGCATCAGTTGAGTCACAGCTCTGAAACCCCGGAGTCATCGGGGAAGAAGCAAGATCTAAACATATAAGAAGACATAAAACAAAACTTCACATTTGAGAAAGTGGGCCCATGCTTCAGTGTTTTTAATGCCTCATTTGACCCACCTTTATTCCAAAGAAAAGTAACTGCATCTTCGTAGCCATTGTGGAACGCTTGTTCCAGATCCTACAAAGTGAAAATATAACAACTATAGTGTTATATTTGTACATCATTGTATCATCACTTGCATTAGATTGCTTTTCATTTCAAAACCAGATTTCTGTTATGTTATTATGATGTAAAATGGCTCATCTCAGTATGTGCTTCTCTGTACCATGAGAAAAGCAGGCTGAAAACTTAATTAGTTTTTAAAACTTCACTAAGATAGCTTTTATTTTCTCCCCACATTAACCCATGCATCCATTTTCTTCCACTTATCCAGGACAGGGTCCCGGGGCAGCAGCCTAAGCAGAGAGCCCCAGACTTCTCTCTCCTCAGCTACTTGGGTCAGCTCCTCTGGGGGAATCCCAAGGCCAGGCCAGCCGAGAAGCATAGTCCYTCCTGKGTTTTCCTCTGGGTCTCCTCTCAGTTGTGGTGGCTCGGGCATCTGGTTAGGATGCCACCTGGACATCTCCCTGAGGTGTTCCGGGCATGTCCCACTCGGAGGAGACCACGCATTTACCATGAAACAAAAAGTTGCAAAGTTTGCCTTTGGTTACTTCAAATGTAAGGGGTCAAGGTTAGGTTCTTGGACAGCTGACGAGCAATGATGCCAGGTCCCTCTTGTAAAAGAGATTGATATCTAAAGAAGGTTTTCTTTTTCAGTTTTATTCACAGATTTTCAAGGTCTTTTCTGCGTATCAGTTACTGTCACTCCTACAGCACATCTCACCAATGTCCTGTTGTCCTAATACATGTAATTTACTAGTCTAGCACACCTCTCTGCCACTCCAGATTTTCTCACACAACACCACAACCCATTCTGTACTTCTCTATTTACAGCCTCAAAACTAAAATGGTATATGTGGTGCTCTTTCCTGCCTTGAAACCATACTGCTGCCCCCTGTAAATGCTACAGCTCTGTACACCACATATGTTCTTAAAAAAGAGGCAGCTGCACACTTCTCCTCCAGTCCTCAGGCATTTTCTCATTCTCAAAAATGCAGCTGAATAATACAGACAAAAACTTTCCTGCCATCGCGACTAAACATTTCCACACACTCACTGTAAGGTCCATCTCTTCTTCTAAGCTTTTTGAATCTCATCCTCACTAATCTTTCCTACTTCTTGGTTCACAGTTTCTCTGACTTTGTCTTTCCATTCCGTTCTCTTCATTCATTAGCTCCTCAAAAGTACTCCTTCCACCTTCCCATCACACTCTCCTCCCTTATTACCAATTCTATCTTTAACAATCCTAACTTGCTGTACATCTTTTCCAGCCTGATCTCTCCAGTTCATACAAGTTCTCCTCACCCTACTTGGGTCCAGCCTCTACAGTACAGTATTTCAGCAGATTTTACTTTTTCAGCTATTTCACTTTTTTTAGCCACTTTTTTACCATTGAAAATGAAAGGAGCTGTTTTCATCATCCTTAAAATCCTTTGAAATGTTTCTAAATCTTTACAGATCCTTACACCTTTTGGTCTGGTGCTGCTCTTTTTAAATTCCCTGTCTTAATTTTTTGCTACATTTTTGCTAATTTTAGCTATTTTCTGCAATTCCAGCTAAAATTCAGCTTCTTTCTGCTATTCTTCTGCTTTTTTCCACCTTTTTGTGCTTTTTTCTGCTAATTTGTGCTAACTCTGCTCCTTATAGGGCATTCTGCTATTTTCATCTACCGGTATTTGCTGCAATTTCAGATCATTTTTAGCTGTAATTAGCTAAAGTTAGCTTTTTTAAGCTAAATACACAGTTTTTGTAGCTAATATAACTTTTTTCTGCTAAGTTCTGCAACCTCAAGCTCATTATGCTTCATTATGCTAATTAAAAAATTTCCAGCTCCTTTTGAACTATTTTACTTTAAAATTTGGCTGTTTTAGTAACTACAAATTGACACTTTTTTGTACATTTATGTTTTTTTCTGCCAATTTTACATTTTTTCCACTGTTAGGGTGCTAATTACAATTTGTAGCTGCTACGTTTAGCTTATTTTATGCTAATTTTAGCTTCTTTTTGCTATTCTTTTGCCTTTTTCTACTGTCTGAGCTTTTTTCTGCAAATTTGTGGTATTTATGCRTCTACAGATGCTTTGTTCTCTTTAAGCTATTTTAGCTTTTAGCTGTTTTCTGCTTTTTCAACTATATTTTTGCTTCTTTTTACCTTTTTTCTGCAAACTTAGGCTTTTTTGCTTCTTTCAACTGAAAATTTGAACTTGCAATAACACTTTTGCTATAAAAATTTTTCAGCTCAATTTCAGCAGTGTTCAGCTTACGTTTTCAGCAAGAAGCATTCACACTAGCGTTTTCGCAGGAAATGCAATCTCTCTAGTTAATTTTGTTAGCCTGGAAATTTTTCTTATTTCAAGACGCTGTACCAAGTGCAATTGTTTTACTGCACTGGCAGATTATTTCCTATATTTTGAGAAGATTCCGACTATTTTAAAACATATTTTTAGATGGCTAACTTTTGAAGCATACAGCTCATCATACGTCTACCTTTGTTACCTTCTGTACACTTTCCTCAGTCCTCTCACTGGCTCACGTTTTCTTCTTCCTCTAAACTTCCTACACTTTCACTACCAGACTTTTTGTCATCTTTTCAAGGCCCAGATGAAACACCAAGTATCTTTCTACTTGTCTTTTTAATGAGTGTTTCTGTAATAGCCCAGTCAATTACAAGCTCTTCCACACCACCCAGAGTCAATAACAGCTCCCCTCTGAACTCCTCACATTAGTCCTTGCTCAACTTCAAGGTTTTGGTTTTCTTCTCTGACTTCACTCTTTTCATTTTCTTCACCACAAGTCATCCTACACACCGTCATCACAGTGTCTGGCCATGTTTTCCACTGCTGGAAGCTTATAGTCCCAATCTCCTCAGGTTACCCCTTCTACACAGAACGTACAGAACTCCAGCCTCCACTGTTGTAAATCATCTCATCTTCCTCCATCTTTTGGAAGTAGGAGTTTACTAAAGCCATTTTAATTCTCTTGCAAAATCTACAATCATCTGTTCTTTCTGGCTCCTTTAATTGACACCAAACCTGCCCATCACTCCTGTTTTCTCCACCATGTCCATTCACCTCTGCTTGGATCACCACCCTCTTCTCCCTCGGAATATTATAACTTCATCAAGATCCTTCTAAAATTTCTCTTTCTCCTCTAACTCACAACCGACAACATTTAACATCAAACCTTCCACACACATCTGACACTCTTTTCACCATTTTGTTGTTGTTAAACCAGCCCTTGATTAATCTGATATGGTGTTGTTTGGATGAACTTGTGATTTTGTTTTGGCAAAGATGTGTTACTGTGGAGATTTAACTAAAAATGGAAAATAGTTTTGTATTAAAAAACAGGAAAATCCATTAGTCACAGTCAAGTGACAAACCAGATGAGTGAACCAAACCTAATTTGTGGCCCTGTTTTAAACAGACTGAATGTAAGAAGCATTTGTTAAAAAAGGCAAAAAAAAAAAAAAAAGATTATAAATATGAACTGCTTTAGTCCAGCAGTGAGCACCTGACCTCCAAATCCACAGAGCAAAGGGCAGTGATCATCCTCCAGGAGTTAGCTACGTTGGTCTTAAAATTGGCTCCTGAAACCACCATCGTCATCGGGCAAGGAGGGTCAGCGGGACAAATATCAGTGTCTCCAGAGAAAGGGGACACAGTCAGCGTAGACGACTCAGKCATTCTGGGCATGAAGCCACTCAAACCACCATCTATATAGTGCTGTCAGACAAGATTACAAACATGACTAARGGGACTTAACATGATGTTAGAAAGAATTTATATATATTAAAAAAATCCTGAAAATACTCACCACACCCCTGAAGAGTGGAGGCAGAAAGCCACAATATCCTGGCAAAAAGCAGCTGCACAGCAGAGCCTGAAGACAACAAACAGCTTCTACTCAATTAATAATCATGTTGGAATATAAATGTATCATCAAAAAGAAGAATCTAGTGATGCATTTATTCAAATTGCTATATTTTGGGCATTTTTCCACAGACAATCTACCTTAATCTAATAGAAAAGTTTTTTTCCTTCTGGGTTTTGGGGTTTGTCAAAAATATTTATTAATCATGATCTTATTTTTTAACTGATGACTGGAACATTTCTGTCATTTCTATGATCATTTTCCTCACTACCAGAAGAACAAACTTACTTGAACAACATCTTCCTTGGACTGGAACTCCGATAAAATGATTTGCTCTCCATCAGACAGACGTGTCACAGCAACACCAAGGCGGCCGTTTGCCAAACGGTGGGCATCAGAAGGAAGATGTTTGTGCAGAGCTTTCTCTAGCCACTGGAAAACATTGACTGATGGGCTTAATATTCCCAAAGTAAAAGCCTTCACCTGTTTGGCAAAKAGAAGCATCTCATCCCGTATGGCAACTGCAATAAAACAGGACTCTCRTTTTAAAAGTACTTTTTACATTCAGTCATTGTAAATGTGGAGTCAAACACATGGCCACTTACTCGGGTTTAGTTCACAGGCTACAGTAGCTGCAGCCAGAGACCCAGCAGAAGCACCGAGGATSTGAGGCGCCGACTTCAGAATCCAGGGTGAGTACCTCAAGAAGCCCAATGCAACCCCCAACTGGTAAATAGACAAAAATCCAGATCCAGAAAAGGTGATGCTGTAGCGATCATTACAGGAGTGAGATCTGGAGGCACTTGGTGACATTTTCCAAAATGTTGCAATAATTAGGTAGTTATTTAAGGGGAAAATAACAGAAACATATATGCTATGCCTTAGATTTCTCTCTCCAGGTTTAGTCAGTCTGCTGTGAAATGAAAAATGCCCTGTGCATTTTAAAAACACCCCAATTTGACATACTTGGTTTGTCATAGCCATGTGATGCAGTGATATCAAAAGCCTTTTTTGTCTCCATGAGGCACATTTCTGTCCATTTACTAAGTAGCTTCAAAGAAGTATGGAAACAATACAGTACATTCTGAAAATCCTACTTTTTTAAAGTATGTCTTTAGACAATCTCACRTATGGTTGAGTTTGAAGATTGTCCCAGTCACACCTTTTTCTGCCTATGCGATGGTAAATGGTAAATGGTACTGAACTTATAGAGCACTTTTCAAGTCCCTCCGGACCCCAAAGTGCTTTACACTAACAGACATTCACCCATTCACACTCACATTCACACACTGATGATGGCAAACTACACTGTAGCCACAGCTGCCCTGGGGCACACTGACAGAAGCGTGATGAGGACAATCTCAAGGACTTTTATCTTTGTAGTTATTTGTAGTTAGATATAAAATATGAGACTAATAATTTCCAAAATTCCAGTTGTTTTTCCMATTTTCATAAAAATCCTTGTGTATGATTGAGTTCGCAGACAATCAGTGAAGTTTGGCAAGTTTGTAAAAATAGAAAGGGTTGACTGAGGCTGGGTAKTTTTCTGTTGCAGGGGAAATGTGATTGGCTCAGTGAGATTAATCAGTGAGACCTGGCACACAAAGGAAGCCAATGAGAAGTCAGCAGATGAGCGAATGTGGTACCACAGCACCCCCCAGAGGTTAAGCTTTGTCTAACAACAGGAAATTCTGAGAATATGAGAATGGCAACTTCCTGTTTGAGTTGTTGATCTGGTTAAYAAAAGGTCCACAGTAGTGATTTTATTTTTAATTATTATTAAATTCCGGTTGTTTCTCCAATGTTAATAAAAATCCTTGTACGATTGAGTTTGCAGACAATCAGTGAGATTTGGCAAAAAAATWAAATAAAATACAAAATATAAAAAAATAAAGCCCATGGGCAGTCAGCAGATGAGTCAATGTGCTACCACAGTAGTACCACAAGTGTAGTTTTGGTACCATGATAAAAGTATTACAAGTCAGTGGACTGTGGTAGTCTGCTTGAGCCCAACTTCTTGAAAACCCACAGTGACTGCATAAGATTATTATAGTGTTTGAGCACAATGTTGTTGTACAGGTGTGACAAGATTAGTGAAAACACTTGTGTGACTTGTTTAAATTGTTTTAGAATGCATATAAACATGGAAGCCATGTTTGGTTGTGACTTTTTATTTTAACGCAATAAATATCTGTCACACATTCCAATCTAAAAAAATATTTATTTTTAAAAGCAAAACAGAAGAACAACTGAAATTCTCTTTAAACACCATATACGTTTGCTTAAAGGTAAACCTGGAGCAAACATAAATTATTAATTTCTGTATCACTCCACCTTTTTTGACAACCTGCAACAAAACCCCAATCACAGACATGACTTACCTGCAAGATTTGTATAGTTTATGCACATAAAACCCCAAACAGAACTGCAGCCAGGACTGAGCAATGTAAAGTTGACARTAGGATGATTATTTTGATAAATACTGATGCTATTTTTTTCCACAGATTTCCATAAAACTTACTGTTAGTGTTCATTCACACAAAAAGCATAAAAATCACTTATTTTCTTCCAATGTCTGTTGCTGTTATGTTTGTCCAACCTTTACATTCATGTTTTAAAGCTGAATATGTTTAATGCACTATTATTTATTCTGTTACAGTTGTTAAAGTTGCATTTTTGTCCACGTGTTTTTACCCCACTGCAGCACCCGTCGGAGGGGGCAGTGGAGAAGCTCGATCAGGTGAAACCTCAAAATGATCCTCGYTGAACTCGTGTGTAGGACTGCTGTCTGGGAAGTCCTCATCGTGAGTGTTTTCTGGAGACTCTGTGTCATTTTGAGTTTTCTTGATATCCAGCGGGAGCTTCAGAAACCTGAGGGCAGTCAAAGGGCACGCAGTAAACACCAATTGTTTTTTTTTTCTGTGTGTGTGTGTTGGTGTGTGTGTTGGTGTGAGTGAGTGAGTGAGAGAGAGAGAGAGAGACCTGAAGAGCAGTTTTTGTCCTCGCTCCTTTTTGATGATGTTGAGTTTGTAGTAGTGCCGCAAAGCACGGGACATTTTCTCATAGGTCATGTTTTCCCGGTTCTGTCAACAAAGCAAACATCTCATTATCTGCGTTTCACAAAAYGTTTATTTATTTATTTTTACTTTTTAGACTTGACACAGATTCCAACAGGTGACTCACCTTGTGGTTCCCCCAGAGACGCGCCAGTCCATTGGGGTCAACTACCCGGAATACGTGGCTGTCCGGATCTTCCCATCGTATGTAGTCTTGGTAACGTTCGTCACACAGCAGCTGGTAAACATAATCCCACAGCAGTCTGCACTCTGGTCACGAATAAAACACACACACCAAATTTTTTTTTGCTTTATAAAATATATACTTCTTTCAATGAATTTGATTCATAACCTGCTAATAATGCAAAAGACAGTTTTAAATCACTTTTAAAATAAAACTGCCAAAACATTTATATTTATTAATAATGCTGCATTATAATTTCTTTTTTAAGTACAGTAAAAAAAAACAATTAAATTAACCTTGCTATCAAAAATCAATAACTTCRGCCTTTGTGCAGAACAGATACCTTATATTTAGAAGACCACCAGTAGCATACTTGCAGAGGTCAAAATGATGAAGATGTTCCTTTTTGTAGACTAAAAACAGAGCTAAAACATCAACTAGTATTACATATGTGTGCAATGTATGTAACGTGTATTTGGACTCTAGTGCCAGTCGCTGGGATTTACTCAGCTTCTATTAGTTTGAGACCAAAGTTCTCAACTAGAAAAYGRTAAAATGCTTCCTTTGAGTCGGGGATGAGCCTCTGCTTCAAGCAGAGTTCAAGCATCTGGGAGTCTTCTTTAAAAGGGATGATAARATGGAGGAGGACATGGATTAACAGACTTGGACCCTGTCTGCATGGGAACAGTGYGTACGTCTGGTATGGGGAAGAAGATGCTGAGGCAAAAGGCAAAACTCTTRATTTCCTGGTCCATGTAGCTTCTAACCCTCACCTATGGTCACAAGGTATACGATTGAAAGAATGATCTGTGATAAAAGCAGCTGAAATGGGCTTCCCCTGTTGGGATGGCCATGCTGAGGAGCTCCATCATCTGGGGGTGCTTGAAGTAGAGTCAATGCTCCTTTGTATAAAGAGAACTATTGGCTATTAGCATCTGAATAAGATGCCTTTTTGACACCTCCATTTGGGGGGTTTTCAGGGACACTCCCCACTGGAGGACACCSCAGGACCTGTTGCCTCAATGATTAGACCGCAGACAAAGAGCAACATGTGCCTGAATGATATTTGAAACCTGAGACTTTAAATTGTGTTTTTTTCTTATTTGCTTTTGGTGCATTTTTGTTATATTTTTTCAATGCAAGCAGAACAGCTAAAACTTCCCATACTGATATCAACTTCAGTGAATGGCTGATGTATTTACAAATGCATTTACCTTTTTTGATCTGTTTGTCTGTTCTATGATTAAGAACTTTTTTAAATATTATTATTTTGTGGACACTGTTAGAACATAATCACACATTACCTGGTATTTTACCGTTGGCTTTGTGCAGCGGGCTCCTCGGCTTCTCTCGACTGGACAGGTTGAGAGGTTCCTGAATCACCCCCTCTTTTGAGGGAAGATTTTGGACGGGGTTGTGAGGGATTGCAGAGACAGACGCAGACCCATCTAAGGAAAAATAAATGAAAGAAACAACAAGCGGTGTTTGCCATGATTAGAATTCCAAATTAGAGTTTTTAACTTTCAGTCTTTTTGCTTTTGTTTATTTTATACCCACTATTATGCGTGAGTGGAGCAGAATAATGGAAGACAACAGGGCGTTCTCTGAGAGGAGACGTGATGGGCTCTGGTTGGCTGCACACTGTGGCTCCAACCACCACAGGCACTGCCGTGCTGGCAGCGGCAGGAACTGCACAAGAGAAATATGAGGAAATGTGAAGTGCTAAACAGAAAGCAAAAGCAATTTAATAACAGCTTGAATGTTTTAGATTAACAGGTTTATCAGAGTTTTGTAATGTTTAACACAAAGAGGGCATTTCAGTTTAGCTCTAACATGCAAATAATCGAATAAAACAAAAAGGACGGAGTATTATGTTTTCTTTAATCCATGTTGTTACAACAAATTAGCACGTCCTACTTCCTRCAGTGGAAAGCACCATCAGGAATGTGTGCAGTTGCACCATAATGAAAAACATCTTTATGATTCTGATATTTTATCTATTGCACAAGGAAATGATTTGCCGCTTTTTTTTGTTTCAAAACATTTAAATGATGAACTCAATATTGTTTTTACAAAGCATAAAGCATTCGGAATAAAGAGATAAATCATCAACGTATTACAAAATGAAATTTCACAACCCTTGCATCGACACATTATGCGTACGAAATATGTGAAGGGGAAAGAAAACAGTGATGTTGGAACATGTGGCGTTCAGGGTTTGGGTAAATTAGGGAGCTTTAATGTTTTGCTTCCTTGTAAATGTTGCGACGAAAAGAAAATGTCTAACTTGATGTGTTCACACGTTTACCAGGAAGTACTTGAAGCCACTTTTTAACTAGAGTAAACAAGTCAGATTTGATAAGCAACAAAACTTAAACAACCAGCTCTCTGTATAACACAGTGTGTTTTATTATTTTTATTTTTTGCACTGTTGTTCCCTCTGCTGCACAATCCAAGTGCATAAAAGACATAATGATCCATTTGTGTGTTGTTGTTTTTTTGTTTTTATTATTAACTATCCAGATTTTACTAGCTTATTTTTAACGAGATAAAGAAAATAATTTATATACAGTATATTTCAAGTAGGGATGTTAAATAGACACAATGAAGTATCACAATATTTCACTTCCTGATACTGTATCAATTCTCAAACGCACTATACTGGTTTTTAATTAAGGCTTAAAATGTAAATCATCATATCAAGAGTTCATTTCAGTGTTGTATTTTAGTGTACAATTGCTCTGATGATTTTTTTTATAAATTTGAATCTTTTGGTAAAAAAAATGGCAATGTATCATAATATGTCCTTTTGTGACATCCTGTGTCAAGATATGTATCAYATCAACAAATTCTTACCAACACACAGCCCTAATTTCAAGTGGTTACAGTAAATGTTTTACAACTATGCACACTTTCTTCTCTTTTTCACTTTTACCAGTGAAAAGCTTTGTTCTAAGACAAAAAGGATTCTTACAAAAATACTGACGGTATTCTTCAGCTGTTTCTGATTCAGTAACTTTATGACATAACGCATTATTAAAGTGACCAACTCTTACCGGTGGGGTCACTGACAGTCACAGGCTGTGGCTCTTTGAGTGTGTAGAGAGATTTCTGGCAGCTGGTTGGATCCTGAATGTGTCTGGCTGTCGCAGAAGGAGAAACACTCGGGGGCTCGCAGACGACGCTCCGTCTTTTTTGCTTCACACACTGAAGAATCTCATAGAGAACGTCCCCTGTGGGAATCCCAAGGTCAAGAGCAGAGAAAAGGGCAACATGAGGAAAACGATGTCTTTGTGTGTATGTTTATTTTTTCTGCACATTTATTTTTTACCTGAGCTAGGACAGCGGCGTCTGAAGTCTTCTTTGGTGAGCAGGCACAGGGCTCTGCCGTTCATCTCGAAATGACCCTTTTCTGGCCGGCGCAGCGAGTACTCCTTCTGAGCCCAGTGGAGCCAGTGGGCAACATCCTCCTTATCCCACAGAGATGGGTTTATTCCTAGAGAGGGTAGAGGTTTAAAACATGGCAAAGCAATCCTCATATTAATCATAATATTTAAAATAACGGCTCACTTAGTCGTCCAGGCAGATGCCACAGGTCTTCCTGAGTGGGAGGACTGGCCAAAGGAGCTTGATTAGTGGGGGGGTGATCACTGGCAGGCAGGTTGATCTGCCTCCCCTGCATTAAGACTGGAGGACTGTCTGCTCTGTTTTCATGCTWTAAACAACCACACAAATAGATACAAACTTAGATATAAAAGCAGCAGTGCAGATCAAAGATAAACTGGAACTTTTGCTCTCAATAGACTAATAAGGTTTTCTACCTACAGTTTAATAAATAAAGTTAAAAATGGACTGATCGTCAGAGCTGAACTTACCTTGATCAAGGGTGAAGGGAAAATGCTCGCCATTGAGATCTCCCTTTTCTGTTCGACTGTTTATAAATAAAACTGAATGATTTCCTCATAAGCAGAAAAAGAACTGACAAATAAAATATTTAAAAAAAMCTGAAAGTTTTTCTAAATAAAATATCAGAGCAATATCCTCGAATATATACTAAATAAAAATCTGCAGTTTTTTTCACATTCGAGCCTTCCGGGAAATGAAAACGAAAGAAACCTAATCCTCGCAAAGGGGTGTGTGCGCAAAACAGGCTGATTGGAGGAAGCCGAGGCTGCTGAGCACCTTTCCAAAACAAAAATGAGCTATGTTTGATCAGACTGAAGCGCTGAATAAACTCATCTTGTGTAGAAAAAAAAACTAAAAGCAGCAATAATCAGTAAATGTAATATTCGCGCTTATATGAAAAAGGTGGGAACAATGGGGCGACAGTGTGAGGAAGTGTAAGACAAACTCCGGGAAAACACATTAGACAGAAGAGCTGCGTGGGAGCGTGAAAAAAAAGCGAACCTTAGCAAGTAACGCGCGTGCGCTTCCGACACACGAGCTCCGCCGGAAAAACACGAGCTCCTCCTTCTCCTTGTGCTCCTCCTCCTTCTGTTCCTGACCGGAAAAGAAGAGCCTTTTTAAGCAAGAAGAGAGTTTCACTTCAAGGGAAAGTAGGTATGGTGTTTATTCAGGCAGACAGGAGACAGACAAGAGCAAACAAGAAGCTTCAACTGTCATATTTGTGGGAAAAAAAAACAACTTTTGCGTTGCGATGAACGTATGCATGTTTACCACAGCTGGAAGTACAAATGACACTAACTAACAGATTGTTTGTTTTGCACTAAATCTCCAACTAAAGAAAAACTCTATTGGAATCAGTTTATTGAATATGTGGCAAATTTTAGTGAGCATTTTGTCTTTTCGTATAGACCTGTGTTTTAGTGATTACATCACCGGTGCAAGGATACAATTTCAAAGTTCACTCTTGTGGTTTAATATTCAAAATATCTGACCTACGGTTCCAAATGAATGCAAGCTATTTCAGTCCTMGTGTAAATGTTTTGAACCATGCCTCATTTAAAAATAAATAAATTCTAAATAAATAAATAAATAATATAAAACACTTAAACGGGGCTAGGTTATGAATAGTCAATATCTTACCTGTTTTAGGGACATCTTTGATAAACCTCAGTTTAACAAGCTAATGGAAAGTCTGAGTAGGGATTTGTTTGGGGTGCTGGTGTCTTTAAATGAGTCCAATCTCTGGTTTTCTGCAAAGTATTTTTCATCAACTTTACACTATTGTTTACTTAGCATTGCATGGTTATCCTGGCAGAAATGTTATGATATTCCTGCCAGAAGTGCCCCAGGCTACACCAGGAGTGCTACAGCTAGCCGTTAACTTGTCAAACCTGTCAGAACAAGGGGAAGTGAAATCTGRACAGAGTAACAAATGATTATTATGAAAATTAGCCCAAGGCTTATTCTGGTATAAAACATCAAATGCTCTTACATTATTATTATTATTATTATCATTATTGATGTGTCTCCCACTTTTGTGTT